TTCCCTGATTCACTCTGATTCATAAGGATCCAAAAACTATGAATAATGGGTTCAAATGAAATATATCTAATTTAACAATGGTATATGTAAAGTTCTGTATTTAGGCTAAAAAATAAAACAGAGCAAACTACAGAAATAAAGAATGATTTAAAAATGTTGATTGAAAGCAATTACTGTGAATATCCTAAGGATTCTGGACAATAAATCCACCACGGCCTAGGACCTAACACAGTTTGTTTAACAAATAAAAATACAGTATGATCTAATTCTTAAAAAACAAATGCAAAATTCCCTATCATGAGGGTAAAACCGTGTCTTAATAATTTACACTGATAAGACAGCATGAGATATTGTATTAAATTCCAACATATTTTACGAAGAAATATGATGTTTTGAAATTAGGAAGTCTAGAAAAAATATAATAAAGAATGGCTTCAGAAACTTCAGCAAAATAAGATCTACGTATGTGTAACTCCAGAGAAGAGAGCTAGGATAAATGGACGAAAATTACATAAACAAAGACACTTGCCTTCACTTAACAAAGAAGACCATAATAGCAAATACTTTAAGAGAAATAGAGGCATCCTGTAATGGAGGGGAAAATGGACTAGATGTTCACCACAGTACTTTAACCTCTTAAAGTTCATGATTTTAAAAGTTACATGGGGTTCAAGGAGGGGGAATAAGGAGTTTGTACATAATGGGCACAAAGTTTAGAGTGATGAAAACATCTTGGAAACAATGCTGCTGGTTGCACAACACTGTCATTGTAATTAAGGCCACTCATTTGTATACTTAAAAGGGGATAAAACGGCAAATTTTATGTTATATATATATATATATATATATATATATATAATTTCATCACAATTTAAAAAACATGATTCTATTATTCTAGGTGAGAGATGCGAAAGACTCAAATTGAAATTTTGACTTAATAAAAAACAAAAACTTCATTTACTGCTGTGGCAAAGTCCCTTCTTTTGACTAGGAAGAATATGTTTTACCATAAAGGAGTTTTCCTAATGTGAACGCTGCGGTAATCCTGTGTTTCATCAAAGGCACAGCAACTATGTATTCTTCAGCAGTGCTACTGAATCCAACTAGAGTGGTTCCTTAAGGGCAGAAAAATAATTGTACCCAGGAAAAAGCTCATTTGTAAATGTTTATTATCATGATAATAAATGTTCTTATTGATGATAAAATGGGACACATACAGTTTAGAAAAAAGTCCTCTTTCATCTACCCATAGCAAATAGATATACAAATACACACATACAGAGACTAAAACACCCACAATTTAATACATGAGGGGGAAAAAGTATCTAGGAAACTGGAACAGCATTCCTTTGTTCATAAACACAGGCTGCTAAATTTTGATAGATTAGGAAGATATCCATAAGAAATCTACAATCAGAAGGTCTGCTGCGTGGAGGCTGGCCAAAGAAAAATTCACTCTAAGATTTCTTTGATGTTTTCTACTCCCCACCAAAACCCATTTTTCTTCTTAAAAATGAATGGAAAAAGATATACCATACTAATACTAACTGGAAGGAATCTTTGAAAAAGAACAAAGTTGGAAGAGTGAGACTACCTGATTTCAATGATTGTTATTAAGCTACAGCAATCAAGACACTGTGGTACTGGTGTCAAGATAGACAATTAGATAAATGGAACAGAATAAAGAGTTCTGAAATAAACCACACAGATGTGGATAACTGATTTTTAACAAAGGTACTGCAGTGGAGAAAGAAGAGCCTTTTCAACAAATGAGGCTGGAACAACTGGACATTCATTTGCCAAAAAAACCCCAAACTGAAACAAAACAAGACCCCCCCAGAAAGAACTTTGATATATCCCTCACACCATATAAAAAAAATTGGATCAAAATAGATCATACACCTAAACGTAAAGCCTAAAACTATAACGCTTCCAGAAGAGAATACAGAAGAAAATCTTTGTGTCCTTGAGTTAGCAAAGATTTTTAAAATATGACACCGAAAGCACAACCCATACACTTTAAAAAATGATAATATGAACTTCTACAAAGGACACTATTAAGATAAAGACAAGCCAGACTTGGATAAAATATTTGCAAATCATATATCTGATAAAGGACATGTATCCAAAATTTATCAGGAACCCTCAAAATTCAATAAAAGGAAAACAAAACACCCCAATTTAAAATGGGCTAAAAGATTTGAAAAGATGCTTCACAAAAGATATACAAATGGCACATAGGATGGACAGATGCTCAACATCATTACTCACTAGGAAAACGCAAATTAAAACCACAAGGATATACTACATCACACATACTTGCAGGGCTAAAAATAAAAAGGCTGATGATACTAGATGTCGGCGAAGATGGGAAGGAACCGGGACTCGCAACCACCGCTAGCGGTGGAAAACAGTTTGGCAGTCTCATAGAAAGTTCAACAGGGACTTTCCTGGTGGTCCAGTGGTTAAGACTCCACGCTTCCACTGCAGGGGGAGCAGGTTTGATCTCTGGTCAGGGAACTAAGGTCCCACATGCCACAGGGCGTGGCCAAATGAATAAATAAAAATTTAAAAAATAAAGAGACGCACTTTAAAAATCACTCCGAGATTCACCAACCAAAAAGATAATCACTTAAAATTCACTTTAAAAAAAATAGTTCGGCGTACACCTAACAAATAATCATTCATTCTACTCCTGGGTATTTACCCAAGAAAAATAAAAGCATATGTCTGTACAAAGACTGTAATATGAACAGTCACAGAAGTTTTCACTGTAAGAGTCAAAAGCTGGAAACCACCACAATGTCCATCAACATGTCAATGGCTAAGCAAATTGTGTTATACTCATACAATGGGATACAACTTAGTAATAAAAAGGGATAAGCTACTGATACATGCAATGGCAGGGAACGCATCTTAAAATAATTATACTAAATGAAAGAAGCCAGGCCAAAAAACAGTGGGGGTACACTGTACATACGTATACTGTACACTGTATGACTCTGTTTATACAAAACTCAAGAAAATACAAACTCATCTCTACTAACAGAAGGGAGATCAGTAGTTGCCTGGGGACTTGCGGGGGCAGGAGGGAGATGCAGCAGGGAGGGAGAGAGGGAAAGATTACAACAGGGTACAAGGAAACTTCTGGGGGAGACATATGCTCAGTATCTTGACTGAGGTGATGGTTCTAGAAGTGTACACATATATCAAAACTTACCCAATTATTCACTTTAAATATGCTCAATTTTCATATGTCAATTATACCTCAATAAAGCTGTTATAAAAAATAAAAACAACAGCTTAGTTGGGATATAAAACTTTGGGGAAAGTTCCTTCTTTCAAACCAGAAAAAGGCAAGGTTAAAGTTCATGACCACCATCCCACACAGAGGTCGCTTTTGTATGGATATGATGCCACTGTAAAAAACAAAAACAAAAAAACCAAGAAACACTTCCTTTTACAAAGCGCAAATGATAGAGGTTCGTCCATTCACATCCTTCAAGCCCAGTTCCGACACAACTTGTTTCTTAAAGCCTTTCGTGATCACTCAAGTAGAAAGTGATTATTCACTCCTGTGAATCACCATACCACTTACGTTAATTTTCAGATATTAATTCAATACATTAATCCATCCACCCGTCACACATTTACTAAATGCCTCACACAGAACAGACACAGGCTTGGTGCTAGAAATACAAAAGTGAGTTGAACACAGTTCTTCACTGGCAAGAGCCTCACAGCCCAGTGGCAAAAGACAGATTCATTTTAAAGTAGCAGTAACTATAACAAGTATTTCAACAAACACAAGTACAATAGAAACACAGAGAAAGAAATCCATTTTGTCAGACACACTGTCTTGTACCACAGTGATTTGTTCAGGACTCCATTTCCCTACTAGACTAAAGCTTCCTGAGAACAAGGGACCATAACTTATTTTCGCCATCTACTAAATTACCTAGCACAGTACCTGGGATGAGTGTTCTAAATATGTATACATATTTGAATGAATGGAAATTCCATTTCACAGGCAGCTACTCTTTGACTTAGCAGGGCCACCATGATGCCAACTTCTCAGGTGAGTGCCAACCTTAATTCACTTTGGCAACCCAGGCAGGTAATTTGAGAGGAGACAATCAAAACTTAAATCTCAACCCCCAAATCCCAAAAGAATAGCTAATACCCCTTCCCCCCCCCCCCCC